TTTATGATCTAATCATTAAGGTAGATAGGAACATTGGTACTTTCACATCTGAGCTTGCTTTATTCAAGAAATTCCCTGAGTTCGTCAGCAGAATTAACAATAATAATAGGCCACATTCTGATAGCGGCCACCTTTTGTTTGCCTAGGTACTGGAAATCTAAAGATATGCCATCACTTAGAGAAGTACTGAACCTACTCCTAGAAATTAAAGCGCACAAACTATCACATAGAAGTAACTCGTACCTCTTTGCACAATTAAAGTATTATTGGGATATGTGGGAAGACGAAATTTAAAAAGCCTAAAATCTGTAACAATTTGTCCTATTGTTGCAATGTATCACTCAAATTGTATGCCTTACATATTACTATATTATTCGTCACATTGGATGGATCTCCCCTTCCCTCTTCTAAGTTTCCCTCCCCTTCCCAACCCTCATTACAATGTTTTTATAATTTGTTGTAATGTTACAAAAAAAATATATAATTTTTTTCAATAAAAACTATTTGAAAAAAAAATGTGTTTACTCAGTAAAAATGAAAATGAATTGCAGCATAATGTTTAAACTAATAATAATAAATAGTAAACTCAAATACGTGTGTGGTTATCTCTCAGGCAGCATGAAAAAATAAGAAATATTCTGTGTACATGATTTAGACTTTGCTGAGATTAGTTACGTCAATGTTCTTTTCATCCAGTTTATGTGTACAATGTTTTTTTCAGTTCCTTTTTTCAGGAGTAAGTAAAGAAAGATTGAGCATGATATGGATCTTCTGTCTGAAATAAAATTATGAACATTTTCAACCTATGAGGCCCTTCGTTATCATTTTTTCGACAATACATATATTCCTATATCAGCAACTTTTAATTATTGAGACAATATCTTTCCAATCCAAAGTATTTTCATCAAATAAACATTACATTATTTTTTGACATCAATATTGCAATTAGACTAATGTAACAAAAGATTTAAAAAATCAGAATCACACTATAGCAATCCTCTTAATAGCAAATACAGTATCTCACAAAAGTAGTACACCCCTCACATTTTTGTAAATATTTTATTATATCTTTTCATGTGACAACACAGAAGAAATGACACTCTGCTACAATGTAAAGTAGTAAGTGCACAGCCTGTATAACAGTGTAAATTTGACGTCCCCTCAAAATAACTGAACACACAGCTCTAAACATATTCTATCTGATTTGTTTGCTATACATTGCATTGTGAGGAATTATTTCCTCCCACATTCATATATTTATTTAGAAAAAAATGTTTGTGCACTAAAACTTATAAATGTTACATAAGATAAAATAACATCAAGTGTTATAGCTTCATGATCTTGTTTAACACAAGACATTTGAAACTTAAAATTGTAACTAGCATAGTCCAGCTGAATCGTGTTATTATAGTAATTTCAAAATTAAGATCAGGTATAAATAAATAGCCAGCATGCGGTAAATATACATCAAAGTCCTCAAAGGTTAACAACAAATAATTAACAATAAAAGTCTGCTGGGTAAATAAAATAAATACACTAATAAATAAATAAATAAAAATAGCACAAGTCCCAAGAGTCATGTCAGATCAAGTTTAGGTAGACAGCCAGCTAGAAAGCCAAATAGATAGACAGACAGACAGGCAATTACAACGTCCAGTTTGGCAGCTTTGTAGTGATTGCTCCTGAGCCAATTGCCCAGCCATTTCATAAATATATTTGGGAAATAAAGGCAAGTACTCAATATAGCTTAAAATATCAAGAAAATAAACATAATTATTATACTATAAACATTTTTTGTTTACTCCACCAGACCTTTATCAAGCATGCCCCTGACTGACTGACTGATTGACTGGTTAATTAGTTAATTTATTTAATTTAACCATCAAGTTTTTCATGTAATTTAGATACTTATGCTTTTTACTATTGCTTTTCATTACAGACTGGACTCTGCTAACTTGAGTAATTTGTCCTAGTGGAGATAATATTGGTATTATTCAGTAGGAAGCCAGCACAATGCTATGCCCTGGATAGGTAAACTGAACCCTTCCCATTTTCACCAGACAGGAAAAGATGCATAAATGGAGACAGCCAAAGCCCTACCACACACTTTTATGTATTTTAACACACTAATTAATGTACATTATCCATCACCTAGGTTTTCCATTAAAAGAACACTTCAAGCATTATAGACACTACAGTGTTACAAGTGCCATGGTGCCCTGCCAGGGTAAGTTGTTAAGCTGTTTAAAAATGTTTTTTTTTTCAATTTACCTAGGGTCCACCAATCATTGGTTACCTCCTCCAAGAGAGTGAAATTTTTTTACATTGATGTAACTTGATAGCGCAAGCCTTAGCTCAATGGATGAGAGTGCTCAGCTATTGTTCTCAACCAATGATCTGGCCCAGCTCATAGCTTCTGGCACTCCTGAAGGCTGTGACAGACACCTGGAGGACACCAACTAAGGGTGTCAAACCATTTGCAATTCTTGTACCATGTTGCTGTAGTTATGTTTGGTAAGAATAAAACATAGAAAATATACAAGATCCAGCACACTCACTCATTCACTAATCAGTAACTTCAAGTCTCACAGAATGTAATATTTTTATTTAAAAACACCTCACCTGAGCAAAAATAATGGAGGTTTAGTTACAGTATATGACCATACATTGCATAAGCCTATCACACCGTCAATTTACGCCGTTCTTGGCAGGTTATACTGCTCAGGAATGGTTTGAGGAACTCACTCCCCCGCCTCAATTCCCTGATCTATAGGCTATCTCACCCCCCCGCCTCACTTCCCTGATCTATAGGCTATCTCACCCCCCCGCCTCACTTCCCTGATCTATAGGCTATCTCACCCCCCGCCTCACTTCCCTGATCTATATGCTATCTCACCCCCCCTGCCTCACTTCCCTGATCTATAGGCTATATCCCCCTGCCTCACTTCCATGATCTATAGGCTATCTCTACCCCCTGCCTCACTTCCATGATCTATAGGCTATCTCACCCCCTGCCTCATATCCCTGATCTATAGGCTATCTCACCCCCGCCTCACTTTCCTGATCTATAGGCTATCTCATCCTATCTCACCCCCCTCCCACTTCCCTGATCTAGGCTATCTCACCCCCCGCCTCACTTCCATGATCTATAGGCTATCTCACCCCCCTGCCTCACTTCCCTGATCTATAGGCTATCTCACCCCCCGCCTCACTTCCCTGATCTATAGGCTATCTCACCTCCCCTGCCTCACTTCCCTGATCTATAGGCTATCTCACCCCGCCGCCTCACTTCCCTGATCTATAGACTGCTGGCTGCACTCTGTGCTGCTCCTCTGTGGATTCAGTCAGGAGAGAGAAGCAGGGATAAGATGTAGCTTCCTATCCCTGTCTCTCTCCATACACAGCGCGGAATTGCACTGTATTTTCAATCCCCTGCGGACGCCCATGCTTGTAATGTTGGTAGGTAAGCTGTCAGTAAGGTGTATGCATACATTTAATAGGGAAGTATTTTTTGAAGTGAGGGCCCGTGTCTAAGGATTCAGGTTTATGGTGCAGTATTCTAAAAAAAACGTAATTTTTTTATGGAGAGATAACTAAGAAGGTTTGAGCATACAAAAATACAGCATATTAATGAGGCCCAAACCAAATGCATTCAATGTTTGTTGGTGTGCAGAGTCTCATTTTTTAACAGGTTTTAGGATACTTAACATCCAGACTTTAATCATATTTTGTTAGGCCACACAGATGCAAGGAATAAATAAGTTAAAGAGATATAAAAAATCCCTGGCTTGTATTATACTTTCAGAATAATAATTTGATGTGACCAGGAAGAGTATAGATGAGTTATAAAAGCATAAAACAAGATATAAATAATGTTGCATTCATATTAATGTATGACACATGAATAATTGAAAGATGTTTACGGATATATTGTCTTAGACAATTACAGACAAAATCTATTTATGAATTACACCTCTATGTTATGATTAATGTTGAATGAGGTAAATAAGCATCATTTTCAATAAGCACAATAAGTAAAATCCTTTGTTTGAAGTTTTAATAGTCATTTTGTGTACTACAAATATCTTTACTAGATTTATATTCTGCAATAATGTTTGGTCCTTACATTATCTTAGAAAAAAGTCTAAAACATAAATGATGACACAAAATATACATACACGGATGTAAAAGGACCATAAAGTAAAAATTTAATTTTCAGCAAAATTGATGTAAGCGATGCTTTCTCAAAAATTATATTTATATCTTGATCTATTTTGCAGCAAAGCGAAGCTAACCACCAAGCACCCAAAAGAAGAAGAGAGGACAAATAGCTTCTCCTATGTTTGCTATGAACTACAATACACTCACTCAACCTATTTATTACAACAACAAATTGCAGTTCCTGTACATCAACTCTGTATCAATAATGAGGAAAAACCAAAAAGGTTTATGGTGGGGAAAAAATTGTGATTAAAAACCCCTTCCACCTGGGGGGGCGGAGCCTGATCGCCAAGAAGACAAGACATGCAAAGCGTGGGCTCCCGAGTCTTGACCCAAGATTCCGGGCACAATGCCCGACCACCCAAACACATCAACTGCTGACCGCACTAATCGACTGCAGAAGACTGACCTGAACCCGGGGATACCAGATACTTGGTCCCCCGGCGCCGGTGGACCACGTGCGACGAGCGGCCTGTGCGGGTGGGAGCCGTGGAGAGACGGCCGCTCTCCCGGTTCTCTGGCCGACGAGGGGGCACACACATCTCATCTCCCCCCCCCCTACTGACCGGGGGGGTTATCCCGGTCCCCAAAAACCTGAGCTGCCTCTGGCCAGCACACCTCTGGACACCCGGCAGACCTCTCAAACTGTGAGGCTCAAGATGGCGGACACGCCAGGCAAAGCAGCACTGGGCCAGACAATATAGCAACTGGATAAAGCAGACCCCAGGGATCATGCTACAGACACCCTGGGAGTTATATTTGACAAATTCTGGTCCAAGCTGACTGAATGCGCCAAATTGGCACAAGCCACAGGGGAACCGGACAGAGAAGAACCAGGGCACAATGAAACACGACCTCAGCAGCCTCCTAGGGGCAGACAGCCAGGCCGCATTAACCTGACTGCAAAACCGACACTATATAAAACCCACCGCCGGAGAAAGAGGGCTGCAGCTGGACGCCCTACCAACAGCCGCAGTGCAGAAAGGACCTACATCATACCAACGCCTGGTGGTAAATACCTGGGAAAAACACAGAGACCACCTGTGGGCCGACCCTCGAGAGACCCAAGGAGCAGAACTGCCTTACCCAACCAGGGTGCCACTACCTTGCGGGTGGAGATTGCGCTGGTCAATGCAGGGGCGCCAGCTGCCACACAGGCCCGGGATGCGAGACACAGAATGACCCATGACGCTGAGGGAGTCGGTTGACTTTTGATACCCCATGGCGAATTGGCTTGTTGCTAGCCACCCAAAAAACGCAGTTATAACGAACCATGCCTGGACCCCAGAGGTTAAGCTAACTTAAAGGTCTATATCACATGAATGCTAAGCCACAATAGTCACTAGTGTAATTCAGAATGTACATGTCTGCTGCCTTTGGGCCTACTATTAATGTTGATCAAAAGAAAAGCATAGACGGGTTGTCATTGCCACATTTAAGCCAGTCAGTCATGTGTATTACAACACTTAACATAGTTAACTCTAGAGGGCCAGCTCAGGTTCTGATCGCGATTGTATAGCCTACCATATAAGACATATACTACAGTATACCAGCATACACAACTCAAAGGTTTAAGCTTGTTAATATAAAATGAGGTTGTTAATCCTAGGAGATCTCTGTGCTCTGTTATGATGACCCTAACATGTATAACTCTTGCAAGTCTCCTTCTCTTCTTCTGTACCACCATAATCACATGCCTCAATAAAATAAAGAATTTAAAAATTTAAAAAAAAAAACCCCTTCCACCTGAAGTCTGTGGATAGTTAATACAATGTGAAACAAAAATCTGTACACGAGTCAAGCCATAAGACTTGCTTTTCCCACAGAAATCACAAATCTGCAGTGAGGTTACTGCCGCAAAGGATTATGGGTGAGTAGTGATGTCCCGAACGGTTCGCTGAACGGTTCGCCGAATGGTTCACCACGGATGGCGAACATATGCGCTGTTCAGTCCGCCCCCTATTCATAATCATTGAGTAAACTTTGACCCTGTACCTCACCGTCAGCAGACACATTCCAGCCAATCAGCAGCAGACCCTCCCTCCCAGACTCTCCCACCTCCTGGACAGCTCACTAAGAATGCAGCTTCACAATGAATGTAAAATGGATGCTGTCCAGGAGGTGGGAGGGTCTGCTGCTGATTGGCTGGAATGTGTCTGCTGACTGTGAGGTACAGGGTCAAAGTTTACTCAATGATGACATAGGGGGCGGACCGACCAGCGCATATGTTTGCCGTCCGTGGCGAACCGTTCGGCGAACCATTTGGGACATCGCTATGGGTGAGCATATGTAAATTAGTTTAACAAGGAATCCATGTTTATAATGGAATGAGGCAAAAATTTGATTCTTTGTTAAACTAATTTGCATATGCCCGCCCAGAATCCTTTGCGGCAGTAACATCACTGCAAATGTGCACATTTTTGTTTAACATTGTATTAACTATCAATAATGAGCAAAAGTTGAGTTGTGCTTCCCAAATAAAAGTACGGTGTCAGTGATTTCTTTTACTCACAGCTTTTGTGCAAAAGTTGAGTAAATCCCCAATACAATTTCCTTCAGATCAGAGATATAGTGATAGGTAAGGAGAAGAAATATACAGCTGAGCAGAGACCGCAAAAGTTGAAATGTCAGCACCAGAGCACATGTTGGCCACTGATGTTGTCACTGCTGCAATTACCCAGTGATGAAGGAGGAGGAAAGAGTCAAGTCTATCAAATGTATGGCAGACTGTCTACCAGCACCACTAGTTCAGCTTTACTTTAATATTTACTGTACCTGGAGAAAGCATTTCCTTGAGTCCCCTCCAACCTAACTCGCACCCAACCCTCCTCCACCCCAGCGTTTACCCCGCAATAAAGACATCCCTGGCTTCACTGAATTTATTCTTTCTATTGCTGCTGCTTTATTGCATCTTTAGGCCTCTTTTTTTAATGCAGGAGTAGAACTCCAAAGCAGTTATGAAACCATGTTAAATAATTTCTATCCATAACCAAGCCAACTATCCTCATTAATCCCCTGCTGTGCTTAAGGGTGGTAGTAGTATTAGTAGCGGAGAACTACTAGAAGTAGTTGAGAACTATGCAGATTCAGATACATCATCATTGGACCTGCTGCCTTTTCTAGTACTTTCTTGTTCTGCTTCTTCCCTCAGTAATACAGACAGGTAGTGTCTTTTCCAGCACTAGTGAGATTACAAATCACTCTCTCCCAACTAATGTCTTTGTGTTGGTGTCCCTGGAAGCTGCCACATCACTAGCCTGTTGTATCAGGGTACCCACTAGATAGCTCCTCACATTTGCACTGTATCCCATACCAGCATCACTTTTAATGCAATATCATATGGTCTTTTATACAATAGAGACACAGTATGACATACCTGTATCAAAAATGGTAGTCTTCCCTTGATCTAGCACCAAAATCATGATGCTGCGTTCAGTTTCAGCACCAAGAATGACACTGTAATCGGATTTTCTTATGTAGACAAAATATTGCAAGGGAATAACCCCTGATACTGTCTTCTAAGCTGTTATATACATGCATTTTGGGAATCTGTACTATACTGACATGTTGATTGTGGTCTGATGATGTTGATGGTGGTGGAATTGGTGTTGGTGATAATGGAAAAAATGAGCACAGCTGAGTGGTAGAAGGTGCAGCTGATACTAATGCTGTCTCTGTTGGATGAGATGTGATGAGACTTAGAGATGATGAAGAAGATGTAGGAGGATAGTGCACTTTAGCTAACTGAGAAAATAATGGGCTTCGGCATGTCCTCTCCAGACTCTCTTCTTCTATTTCCTCTGGCTCATCATACTCATAGTTGAGTAGTGTGGAAAACAAAATTATTTTTCCTGGATTCATTACTACCAACAACAACTTAAATTGGGGAGAACAACTTTCATGTCCTATGTTTGGGGCAATAACACTGCACGACTGGCTTATAACACTTTGACGTCAAAAATAGGCAGACGAGGTCTAGGCTTGCCGCATATGTACAAATATCTTGTGGTGATTCTGCTCACACGAATAAATCAATCCTGATATGGCCTCGAACAGAGCTTTGCAAGGGTGCCTTTACATACACTCCCCTGGCAAACATGCCAGCTGTGCAATATCTCACCCACACATTAACACAACACATAATATGCGTGTGAAGGCACCACAAAAAACGCATGAAACCTGGCCCCGGGTCTGTCCCGGTTCTTTCCACTGGCTGCGAACCCTGATTTCCACAATAGACAGGGACCCTTTGCAGTCTACACTGAATATTGCTAATAGTAGTGATGGTGGAGAAACTGGTGGTGGATGTGACAGCAATGCTTTTGGTTGAGGAAGAGGTGGTCAGTCTTTTAGAGGCAATGACACTAATGTTGATGGTAGATTTGGGAACACCCCTCCTCACCTCTCCCCCATCCATATTCATATATAACAAAATGTACTGGGCAATACACTTCACCCAAAAATATTTGCTTTCTACAAACACTTATAAATAAAAAATAATCTGTCAAACTGTAAATTGGTGATTCCAAGTTGATGTTAGTGGCAATGGCAAGCAGTAGGCACAGCACTGACCATATCCACCAATCTTACCCTAGAATAAATTAAACAGGCTGTGAATACCAATGTGGCAGTAGTTAGTAAAGGGAAACTCCCCCACCCAAAAGGAAAAATATTTTCTACAAATACGTAAGACAGAATTTTCAAACTGTAAATTGGTTATACCAAGTTGGAGATAAGTGGAAGTGGTGAGCATCAGGCACAGCACTAACCTAAATATTAATATCTTACACTAGGATCAATGAAATAGGGTATTTCCTATTTCCCGCTCAGGTGCCACTAGCAGTGGCTAGTTAGGTAAACCTAGTATCACACTTAGGTCAATGGCTCTCCCACTCCCACATATTGACAGCAATGGTAAACCATATAATCACTGATGTTCACGATTTGCCTTAATCGCTGAAGTCAAAGAGTCTGGAAGAATCATACTTGGAATATAGATTGCTTTACTATTTCTCCTTTTTTCCTGTGTTGGTCATTGTCATTTGAATAGTGAATACAATGAACATTTAGTGGCTTTGCATATTTTTTCAACTCTTGATCAGAGAAGAGATAAAGCCTACATGATTGGGCAGGCTTATTGTCCATCAAGGCAAACTAAGCTGTTTATTTAAAAAAATAAAAAAAAAAAACCTCTGCTTTTTCTCCATTCCATCCTCCTCTGTCCTGATGCCAGGTGTGGAACTCTAAAACACAAATCAAAGCAAACATTCTTGCCCATTGCATCAGTTGTTTGTTTTGTGATTAATTTTGAATAAAGTGAATCTCCCTATCAGTTGGTTATTGTGTCAAATGCAAAACAAAATGTTCAAACTTTAAAGGACCACTATAGGCACCCAGACCACTTCAGCTTAATGAAGTGGTCTGGGTGCCAGGTCCAGCTAGGATTAACCCTTTCTTCCATAAACATAGCAGTTTCAGAGAAACTGCTATGTTTACAATAGGGTTAATCCAGCCTCTAGTGGCTGTCTCATTGACAGCCGCTAGAGGCGCTTCCGCGCTTCTCACTGTGATTTTCACAGTGAGAAGACACCAGCATCCATACAAAAGCATTGAGAATGCTTTCCTATGGACTGGCTAAATGTGCGCGCGGCTCCTGCCATGCATGCGCATTCAGCCGATGACGTCGCTATGGAGGAGGAGAGGAGGAGGAGAGTTCCCTGCCCGGCGCTGGAGAAAGAGGTAAGTTTAACCCCTTCCTCCCCCTAGAGCCCGGTGGGAGGCGGACCCCGAGGGTGGGGGCACCTTCAGGGCACTATAGTGCCAGGAAAACGAGTATTTTAAGATTGCATTTTCGGTTTTAAAAAATGTTCCCTACAGATCGTAATTACGGGGGCGGAGCCGACTGCCTAACTGAAATGGATGTGTGCATGCTAAGCTCCTCTGTTGTGGAAAGCCAATCCATTGCCATCAGGCACTAAAATTGCAAAATGGGACACCCAAAACGAACCAACAACGGACACCAACCCCCTAACAAACCACCTGCAGGGAAATCTGGGACACTGAACAAATACTTTCGGGAAACAGTGGACACGACGCCTGAACTGGCAGGCCCGAAAATGGCGTTGGATTCATCCCCAGTCTGCTCTAATCCACCAAGCCCCACAGGCTCCTCACAATCAACCCACATGGCTGACCCAGATATCAGGGA